TGCCCGCCTCCCTCACCCGCCCTGGCTCCTTCGGTGCCCTGTGAGGTGAGGGGTGGATGAGACCAGCGGTTTCAGACTCTCCGGGGCCCTGGCCGGCTCTCAGGGAGACGTGGGGACCTGGGCTCCACCGGGCTGGCTCTGGGGAGGACCCCCGGGAGCCCTCGGCCAGAGCCCTGCAGGTGGGTTTGCAGAGCTCACCTCGCCTGAGTCAGTGCCCACTTTGTCGCAGACCGGAGACCACATGAACAAATCCCTTCGGATTGTGCGCGCCTTTAACAATATTGCTACAGCCCTGACCGGTGTGGCTCAGTGGATAGAGCCTCAGCCTGTGGACTGAAAGGACCCAGTTGGGGGGGGGGTGCAGGAGGCAGCTGAACCAATGTTTCTCTCTCATGGATGCTTCTAACTATTCATCTCCCTTCCACTCTGTAAAAAATTAATAAAGATATAATTTTAAAAATAAAAATAAAAATATTGCTGCACCGCTGAACATCACTTAGCAAGCTTGCTTCTCTCGTGGGCCTGTGGCGTGTGGCACGTCATGCCTTAAAACAATGGCGGCCACAGCTCCGCTCTGCCATGGGTGCTGTCATCGAATTGTTTTATTTTACTTTATGTTTTTATTTTTACTTATTTTTTAAAATATATTTTTTATTGATTTTTTACAGAGAGGAAGAGAGAGGAATAGAGAGCCAGAAACATCCATCAGCTGCCTCCTGCATACCCCCCACTGGGGATGTGCCTGCAACCAAGGCATGTGCCTTTGACCAGAATCGAACCTGGGACCTTTCAGTCTGCAGGCTGACACTCTATCCACTGAGCCACACCGGTTTTGGCTGTCATCGAATTTTATTTATGTTTTATTTATTTATTTATTTATAAAATATATTTTATTGATTTTGTACTGAGAGGAAGGGAGAGAGATAGAGAGTCAGAAACATCGATGAGAGAGAGTCATCGATCAGCTACCTCTTGAACACCCCCTACTGGGGATGTGCCCGCAACCAAGGTACATGCCCTTGACTGGAATCGAACCTGGGACCTTTCAGTCCCCAAGTCGACGCTCTATCCATTGAGTCACACCGGTCCCGGCTGCCATCGAATTTTAATGCAACGGACGTGGCTCCTCAGGCCGGAAGCTGGGGTCACAGGAGGGTACACAGTTCCCAAACGCCATCCAGGAGGCTGCTGCCAGACCGGAGTGGACACTGGGCACCTGACCCTCTTGCTTGGCCGGCTCCCTTGGTTGCTGAGCCACAAGCAAGTAATAATACGGAAGTACAGGTGATTGGAGGTGGAAGACAGTTACTAAGTCAGCCCTCCCTTCGGCGAAATGTCTGACTTTGTCTCCCTGAGACACGGCACTGCACAGCTGGTCGGCATCCTTCCGTACGAAGGTGACGTGAACGGTCACAGCTCGAAGGCTCTGGTGCGTGTGGGAACGCCCCCTTCACTCCGCCTCGCCCATCTCCTTTCTCCCTTTTTCTTACTTCTTTCAGAAAATCCCCGGAAGAGCCCGCCCTGAGGCCTCCCGATGGGTGAGTCCAACGTGACCTTCGGCGCCGAGGGCCCGGCGAACGCCTCGGCGGGCAGGAACGCCTCGGCCAGGGGCGCGCGGGAGGAGGTGCCCGCTGTGCTCTGGGTCATCATGGGCATCTCCCCGCTGGGCTTCGTGGGGAACGGCGTGCTCCTCTGGTTCCTGTGCTTCCGAGTGCGGAGGAGCCCCTTCACCGTCTACATCACCCACCTGTCCGTGGCGGACCTCTCCCTGCTGCTCTGCATCTCCCTCCTGACCGTGCACTACACCCTGGGCTTCCAGCTCTCGGCCGGCTTCAACTACACCGTGGTCACCTTGTCCGCCACCTTCCTGTTCGGCTACAACACGGGCCTCTACCTGCTGACGGCCATCAGCGTGGAGCGGTGCCTGTCCGTCCTGTTCCCCATCTGGTACCGGTGCCATCGGCCCCGGCACCAGTCGGCGCTGGTCTGCGCGCTCCTGTGGGCCCTGTCCTGCCTGGTCACCGCCATGGAGTACGCCCTGTGCATCGACAACGGGAGGCCGGGCTACGCCCAGAGCCGCTGCCGGCCCGTGATCATCCTCATCGCCGTGCTCAGCTTCCTGGTCTTCACGCCCCTCATGGTGGCGTCCAGCGCCGTCCTGCTGGTCCGCGTCCGCAGGAACGCCCGGGCGAACCCCTCCTCCAAGCTGTACGTGGTCATCGCGGCCACCGTCGCCGTGTTCCTGGCCTTCGCCGTGCCCATACGGGTCCTCTACCTGCTCTACTACGAGTTCTGGTCCACCTTCGGGGACGTCCACGACGTGTCCGTGCTCTTCTCCGCCGTCAACAGCAGCGCCAACCCCTTCATCTACTTCTTCGTGGGCAGCAGCCGCGAGCGGCGCTTCCAGGAGCCCCTGAGGGTGGTCCTGGCCCGGGCGTTCAAGGACGACACGCAGCCCCGGCGCCCGGGCGGCGGCCCCCCGGCCCAGTCCGCCGTCTGAGGCCCGGGTGGGGCGCAGCGCGTGTCCTCGGTGCCGGAAACAAGGGAAGTTTCTCCTGAACGCGATGGGGCAGGACACCCGCCCCGGCGGGAGATGCTGATGGGGAGACGGTGCTCCTGGCTGTGTCTCCGGGAATGCCCGCCTCCGAGCCTCAGCGCCCTCTGTCCCCTGGATCCTCTGCTCCCCTCGCTCTGCCCGAGCACCGAGCACCGCACAGCTACTCCGCCCGCGGCGAGCGGGGAGGACTGGGTTCCGGAGGGAGGCTGAGTCCCTCGTTTGCTGCCCGCGTGACCTCACACCCATGTTTAACCCCTCGGAGCCCTGCGGCCTCCGTTAGGACGTGTTTGAGTGTGACCGTGCGTGTCCCCGGGCTTGTGGTGAGGATGACGTGGGAGCCAGGCGTGCCAAGCCCCGGCTCACTGTCACGCTCAGGCCACGTCCGTCTCCCCCTCCGCCTTCAGGGCAAGAAGGCACCCACGCCTCTGTTCTGTGCGGCACACGCGTGGCTCTGTCATGTGCCGATGTTGTCACGTGTCTTCACATGTTGAATGTAGGTTCACGGAGGTCTACTTCCTGCCCGAGGCCTCAAGCTGCGGCTGGTCTCCACGGACTCTCTGCAGGCCGCTGAGTGAGAACAGACGCGTCCTCCGGGCGGGAAGAGAGCGGCTCAGCTGTCCCCGTGGACGCCACCTCCAGGCGCTGCTCTGCCGCCCGCCCTCAGCCGTGAGGAGGGACCGGCCTCATCTGTCCGGAGGCCCCGGGGCCAAGAGAACGAGAGACTCTTAGAAGCGGGTGTGTGTGTGTGTGTGTGTGGGTGTGTGTGTGTGTGTGTGTGTGTGGGTGTGTGTGTGTTCCCCAGGGAAGGCCCAATGGACTGGAGGGGACCCCATTAACTGCCCTTCTGCAGGCCGAGTGGGAAAGGGATGTGTTCATGAATATTAAAACCCTCCCGACCGCTCAGTCCTGGCTTGCACAGAGGTAGGGCTCGGGGTCTGCAGGGTTGTGAGGACACCTTCCTCTCTTACTTCTCCCAGTTCACCCCAAAGTCAAGCGTGAGAGAAAACTAAAGCAGGAAGACCAGTGGACGTGCAGGTGTGAGGGAGGCCAGATGGCTCGCGGGAATTCAGACGGTGTGGTAGGGTAGGGCCGGCGGGAGGAGGGCGTGGGGCTCAGTGCCTGTCCTTGCGGGGGAAGGTCTGCAACGTTCGCGCTCAGTGTTCATGGTCGGCTCCTCTGCCCAGCGCCAGGGGGTGAACAGGCGGAGGGGAGGGGGGGCCTGAGGGGGTGCGGGGGGCCACACAGGCGCCTGCCGCTCCAGCTGCCCCTGCATCACATCAGAGCCTAAGGCGGTCAGGGAGGAGAAGGCACGTCTCGTGTGAAAGAGGAAGCTTCATGGAGGGGCCCTGGGTTGCTGGAAGTAGGATTTCACAGGCCAGAGAGGGAGGGGGTTCGCTGCTGAGGACAGGCCCGAGGGAGGTCAAGGACAAGCCAAGGTCAGCAGGGGCGAGCCAGCGCAGCCCTCAGAGGCCCCGGGGAGCCCTGTGGTCCGCTCGCCACCCCGTCTGTGGCTGCCACCCTGTCATCACTGGCCTCTGGGCCCCGCATTCTTCCCGTTCTTCGGAATGTGGCTCCAGGCGTCAGTCCGGCCACAGTCATCATCACCCGGTCTCGCCATGTTCTCACTCCTTATCTCCCCCAGCCCTGCTCCCGCCTCCTCTCTGCGCAGCTCCTCTGACCCTCGGCCTCTCTCCCTCTGACCCTCGCTGTAGCTCCAGCCCCGCGGCTCTGAAACCAAACCCACACCCACCATCCATCTGTCTGACCAGGACCCGGCCCCACATCCTCCCTGTCCCCCCCACATCCTCCCTGTCCCCCCCACATCCTCCCTGGCCCCTCCACGGCCTGCGGGACCCCCCACATCCTCCCTGGCCCCTCCACGGCCTGGGGGACCCTCCACATCCTCCCTGTCCCCCCCACATCCTCCCTGTCCCCTCCACATCCTCCCTGGCCCCTCCACGGCCTGCGTTTCTGCAGCCCCGAGGCCTCTTGTGCTCCCGGGTGGGTCCCTGCGTCTGTACCTCCTGTAGCAGCTCTGACCCCGAGCAGGGAGACCTCATGTCCCTGTCCATCGCCCGCCCCGGCGCCTTCATCCTGCTGCCCGGTCCCTCCGCCACCAGGCTTCTGAGCAGCAGAGGCCTCTCCCCTCCTGGCTGCGCCTTCTCCGCCGCCTCTCGCCCCTCACACCCGCCAGTGGAAGGGCCGCCCTCCCGCCACGTGGGAATCGGCTCAGCGAGGGGACAAGGGCTGGCACTTCATCGCACGACGGCCCTGCTCTTCCCGTGCCCTCCGTGGCATGTGACGGGGCTGGCCGCACGTCTTTTTTAGAGAGAGCGGAGGGCGGAGAGACAGAGAGAAACATCCATGTGAGAGACACATTGATTGGTCGCCTCCCGCACGTGCCCAGATCAGGCCAAGGATGAAGCAACGAGGTATGTGTCCCTGACCGGAATCGAACCCCAGACCCACATTCTATCCACTGGGCCAAGCGGCTAGGGCTGACCACACTCTGCTCAAAAGGCCCCCTTGAGCCCGGCTGGATGGCTCGGTGGTTGAGCGTTGACCCAGGAATCAGGAGGACATGGTATGACTCCCGGTCAGGTCACATGCCCGGGTTGGGGGCGTGCAGGAGGCAGCCGCTCCATGATTCTCTCTCATCACTGATGTTTCTCTCTCTCTCTCTCTCTCTCCTTCCCTTCCTCTCTCTGAAATAAGTAAAAAGAATACATACATATACACATTGAGTGGCCAGATTATTATGATCTCTGAATGCATAATAATCTGGTCACTCAGTGTGTATCCTCTATAATAAAAGGCTAATATCAAATTGTCCCCTCCACCAGGAGTTCGACCAGCAGCAGGCTGGCAACTGTCCATGTCCCCTCCCTCTAGCTAGGCTGGCCGGACCCCCAGCCATGCACAAATTCATGCACTGGGCCTCTAATATATATATATATTCTGAGTGGCCAGATTACTATGCGTTCAGAGATTGTCATCATCTGGCCACTCAGTGTGTGTGTGTGTGTGTGTATATATATATATATATATATATATATATATATATATATATATACATACATACACACACACACACACACATGCATATGCACCTCTTTCCCTGGTGAGCCCACCCAGGCTCCGCCCAACTCGAAGCAGCTGTGCTGTCCATGGGGCACCTCCTCGCGCCCGCACCGGCCCTGCTCACGTTCTCTCTGTGTCACCCTCTACCTATTACATGTCACACGTGTACGCTACATAACACACAGCTTACTCCTGTGTGCTTTAGTGTAAGCTATACGTGGTCTGTGCCGCCGTCTGCCAGTGGTTTCTCACTCAGCGTCCGTCGAGGCTCCGCCTGGCTGGGTGGCAGGCGGCTTGTTTATTTCACAGCTGAAATGGACTCGGTGCTAACAGCCACACGTGGTTCTCCTGCCCAGACGTCGGCAGGTGGTTTTGGGTTTGTCTGTGCAGCGGGAGGCGCTGGTGCTGAGTGTCCCTGTCCCTGCCTCCTACACGCTGTGCTGGGATTGCACTCCGGCCGGGGGCGGGAGCAGGGCTGGGGCCGCGGGTCCGTGTCCTGGGGCTCAGACTTACAGAGCCAGAGCCCAGGTCCATGTCCCTGGCGGTGGCCGGTGGAGGAGCTCTGGCTGCACACACTGGGCCGCCCGCCCCTCTGTGAGGCTCAGCACTGGTGTGGGGTGAGGGTGTGTGTGTGTGTCATGTTATAGGCTTAGTGCCCTGCAGACTGTCAGAGAGCTGCGGAGGGCGGGCCCTCACTCCCAGGACCCGTGTCCCTGGAGCAGAGCCGCGTGAAGACGTGAACACAGGTGGGCGAGGCAGAAGCGGACGTGGGAGATGGTCCACAAGCCAGGAAACTCAAGCTTGCCGTGGCTCCAGGAGGTGGGCAGGCCAGGACAGTCTCCCTGGAGCCGCAGAGGAGCCGGCCGGCCAGCGCCGAAGGTTTGCCACCGATCCCCTCCCTCCGGCAAGTCTCCCCCGTAATCACCTCGGCCGCCTTTGTCTCTGTGCACGTGCATCTGGTCTCTAATAGGGGGTTCCCTCACCCCACTCATTTTATTTGGGGTGATATAGCCAATGCTGCCTGTGCTCTGCCCAAATCTCTCTTTTTAAAAAAGAAATATATTTTTATTGATTTCAGAGAGTAAGGAAGGGGAAGAGAGAGAGAGAGAGAGAGAGAGAAACATCCATGATGAGAGCGAATCATGGATCGGCTGCCAACTGGGGATTGAGCCCACAATCTGGGCATATGCTCTTGACCAGAATTGAACCTGGGACCTTTCAGTTCGCAGGCCAACGCTCTATCCACTGAGCAACACCGGCCAGGGCCCAAATCTCTTTAAACTCCTTTACATCCTCCATTGCCCCAAAGTTTTTCCTGGGGACCCTTCCCAGTGGGTCACTATCCCACGTAGCCCTGGGGTCCCTGTTTCAGGGTCTTCTGAGGAGCTGACCATTTAAACATCCACATTCCACAGGCATTTTATTTTATTTAAAAGAAGTTTTTATTGATTATGATATCACATAATTGTCCTCATCCCCCCCATTTCCATCCCAAACCCCTCCCCACATACGCCCCCACCCCCCTGTTGTCCATGGCCCCTGGCTAGGCCCATATGCATGCACACAAGTCCTTTGGTTGATCTCTCCCCGTTACCCCCACCCTCCCCTACTTTCCCTCTGAGGTTTGAGAGTCTGATCGCTGCTTCTCTTTCTCTGGGTCTGTTTGTGTTGTTAATTATTTCCTCTAGATGTGTGAGATCATGTGATCCAAGAAATACCCTTATAGGAACCGAAACTGCGACAAGCCATCATGGTTATGCCGAGAGGCCAGTGAATCCGTCTGTAGTGAGTTCCTTTCTGGGCCAACAGTTCTTCTGAGTCCCCATTTCCATGTCAAACAGTTCCTTATGTGTACAGGTCAG